GCTTTTGTGGGTGAATGCCCACTTCATCAGATGCAAGTGGGCATTCACCCACAAAAGCTTATGCTCCAATACTTCTGTTAGGCTTAAAGGTGCCACAGGGCCCTCTGCTGTTCTTTACAGATTCAGACTAACACGGCTACCCCTCTGATACTATTTTTGCATTGGTATACCTGGGTATAAAATTTTACAGGTAATGACACAGTTTAAGATTTCAGGAATGTGGTTCCATTTTGAAAAGTGACTCTCTAAATTTCCTCATGAGATTTCATGTTCCTCTCTCATTATTTCCGTATCTAATTTGCTTAGTTTACAAGTCAAAAGATGTATTTTTTTAAGCTAACAGTCCAATGAAGTCAGGCTGGCATCTGAGAGTCAAGCTTGGTTCTTTCTTTCTGACCATTGGACTAGTGATTCATCCCAGAATTAAAGTTTTGTTTGTTTGCTTGTGATGAGGGGATTTCCTCTAGGAGAGATCCAGTTTTATCCTATATTCCAAGGACCTTAGCACAGCTCTGTCCACAGCTAATTAATACGAATGTTCCAGTTGACATAATGTGAGAGAATGCTGGGAAGTGACACATAGTGCCACTCTTCCAGGGACTGAACATGCTGCCTTCCAGGGACTGAACATGCTGAACTGGAAGGCTGGTCCCAGCCTCTATAAGTGTTTGTAAGAAGGGGCACCATGTTGCTCTATCATTGGACATTGAAGCTGGAACTCCATATTTAAATTTTCACTTAAATCCTAACATAGACACCTCCATCCACTGAACTCCCTCTCTTCCCCGCATCAAAATAAACCCAAGTATTAAACCACCCCAAGTAGAGTTTTTTTCCCCCAAAAGGAAGGAGAGCCAGAGATCCCATTAAGTCCATTAGGAACTTTGCTATTGTTATTGATTTTAGATGAAAGGCACTCAGATACTGCGGTTATGGGCAGCAATATAAAACCCTAAAATAGAAAGATAGCTAATCCAACTGTGAATCAAAATGATAAAACATTATATATATAAAATATTATACAAATATAATTTCATATGGCACTTGCATCTGGTTCTGATTTAATATACATGATGGAAAGCTTCTTCAGTTATTTCTTTCTTAGCATTTTGTGTATCTCTCTGTTAAATCAGTAACTCATTCCAATACAATGGTTTTTTTCCCCTGTGTTTGTCACTTTCTGAGAGTAGAAATAACTCCTCCATTTGCCAGTTATTTCTTAGTTTTTACACTTGCCTGAAGTTGTTTGGCTAACATGCCCTTGGAAAACCTGGCATGTTCTATTTCAGCATCTCTTATAGATTTTTTTTATCTCATTTGATCTGTAGAGATATACCATCACTTTAATCTAAGTTCTTATCAAAATAATTGTTGGCACTTTCTGTGGGATGATCCACACACAGCACTCTGGGTTTAGGGTCCGTGGCAAATATGATGGAAACTATTGAACATGAATTGCTTACCTTGCTTAATTTAACATCTCTCATTTGAAACATTTTTGTAACAATTCAAGAGTGATTGCAAGAGATTTTCCACTTGTTCATACAAAACCAATGAATAAGGGCCTATGATGACCATTTGGACTTCCATGAGATTATGCCACTTTTTTGTTTTAATCTGTACATAATGGCTGTGTGGGGCACTGCAAATCCTCTAAAACATGCAACATGTTAAAAATAGGCCCTCCAAAGTATGTAAGATACCTATAGCTCTGATCTAAGATACATAGATTCATGAGCAAAGTTATCATCATTATCTTCTGAACTGTGGAACTGGGGATCAGATTCTCATACTCGTACTGCAGTTTAGTAGCACCTTACTGCACAAGCAGTCCTATTGAAGTCACTGGAAGTGGAGTGAGTTACAATTCAAAGTGAGTAGGATTACCACCCTCTAGTCCTTACAAGATTTGAAACACTGTACCATATTCACCAATTGTGTATGAATTAAAGGGAAGAAAAGCTGCAAAATTTGTTGCTAGTTGTATTTATTTCAACTTGCTTACCTCACCTGCCTAATGCTTTACACATTTCCCCCTTTCCCCCCATGACTGCCCTTGCCTACCCACTGTTGTCCTGTTTGATTTCATGTCAAAAACGTTCTGTTATACTTCCTGACTAAGGGCATGGCTACGGTGCAACTGGAGATGTGATTGCAGCTCAAGTAGGTGAACCTGTACTAACTTTCATCTAGCTGGTTTGGCTGAAGATAGAAGTGGGCTAGGATCAGGAGTATGTACGCAGAGTTCTGGGCAAGCCTGTGCAGTCCACACTGAAATCTGCACTGCTGCGGCTTCACTGCTACTTTTAGCTGTGCTAGCTAAACTAAAGCTAGCACAGGTATGCCTCTACAAGCTGCAATCATGCCTTCAATTGCCATGTGGACATACCCTTAGTGTAAGTAGCTCAGATCCTCCCTTTAAAACCTCACACTTCTCGGGTCAGTGATTGATTTTTACAGTAACTTGCTTCTTCTGAGAAATGTCATCCACTGGTATACTTTTCTGTAGAAAAATATCTTCCACCTTTTCCATGGTATGAGACAGAGGCTGAGTTTTCTGCTGACAAGACAAATTGGTACATAGTAATAATCATGGCACTGATAGCAAATTGTTTATAGTATCTTCCATTATGAGGGATCCCCAAAGCACATTACAAACTAGGGAACTGCTTCTGCATCTCTTACTTGGACAAAATTCTAATTGTGTTTTGGGGGTCTGTTCCCTCCTCCCCACCATCAATAGGAATTTTGTCCAAGTAAAGACTGCAGGATCAATGTACTCTACATACATCACAAGAGATGTAACCACCTCTGGTGTAGGAGAGCAATAACCAGTGGTGGGTGTGCAACAGTGTGTGTGGGGAGGGTACATTTTGGTCAAGCTTTCCAGGGCTAATGCATGTTCCTTCAAAAAATGTCATGGGATCTTGTAGGTATACACAGAGCAGATACAATCCCAGGGCGAAATCCTGGCCCCATTGAAGTTAGTGGCAAAAGTCCCATTGAATTAAATAGGGTCAGGATTTCCCCCGCGGCTTTTAAGATTTCATCCAAAAGATAGATACACAATAAACATTATAGGAAAAGGCATCATTGGACCCAATAAGATCCCGAGTCTATGCCCCACTGAAAGCAAAGGTAGGAATAGTTCTTTAATGGAAGAAACAATCACAAACCCAGTGTGTTTTGTTTATCTACCTAAGGAGGTTGGAGAGACAAGGTGGGTGAGGTAATATCTTTTTTGGACCAACTTATGTTGGTGAAAGAGACAAGCTTTTGAGTTACACAGAGTTCTTCTTAGGGAGGACGGGTTGGACTGAGCCAACTTTGACTGTGACTTAAACCTGTATTTTATATCTAAATCTTAAAACATTAAACCATCTCTCCAACCATATCCAAAATAGATATATGCAAATGACAAAAAATAGGCATTCCACTCTGTTCTACTTTTGATGTAG